TATATATATATATGTACTATGAGATACCATCTCATGCTCCTTAGGATGGCTACTATATATTAAAAACAAAACAAAACAGAAATAAACAGTGTCAGTGAGGATGTGGACAAATTGGGACTCTTGTGCTTGTCAATGGGAATGTAAAAAGGCACAGCCACTGTGGAAAACAGAATGGTGGTTCCTAAAAAATGTAACAATTACCAAATGACCCAGCAATTCCACTTCTGGGTATATACCCAAAATAATTGAAAGGAGGGTCTCAAAGTATTCACCACAGCTAAAACATAGAGGCAAGCCAGTGTTCATGGATAGATGAAGGAATAAATAAAATGTGGTATATACAAACAATGGAATATTATTCAGCCCTAAAAAGGAAGTAAATTCGGACATATGTTACAACATGAATGAACCTTGAGGGCATTATGTTAAGTGAAATGAATAAACCAGCTATGAAAGGACAAATACTATCTGATTCCACTTATAATATATGAGGAACTAGAGTAGTCAAACTCATAAAGACAGAAAGTATAAAGTAGTTGTCTGAGGCTGTGGGGAGGGAAAATGGAGAGTTACTGTTTAATGGATATAGAGTTTCAGTGTTCCAAGATAAAAAAAATTATGGAGATGAATGGTGGGGCTGTTGCACAATAACGTGAATATATTTAATACCACTGAACTATGCACTTAAAAATTTTAAGATGGTAAATTTTATGCTAAGTATATTTCACTACAATAAAAAACTTAAGCACAGAGTTACCACATGACCCAATAATTCCACTTGTAGGTGTGTACCTAACAGAACTGAGACTATGTCTACATAAAAACTAGTACACAAATGTTCACAGCAACATTACTCATAATAGCAATAAGTTGAATTAACTCATGTGTCCATCAACTGATGAGTGAATAAAAAACTATGGTGCATCTATACAATGGAATATTATTCAGCCATAAAAAATAAATGAAGTACTAACACATGCGACAGCACAACTGAATCTTAAAAACATTTTGCTAAGAGGCATTTACCAAAGGCCACCTATGGTATGAGCCCATTTATATGAAATATCCCAAATAGGCAAATCCATAGAGAGAAAAGGTAAATTAATGGTTGCCATAGGCTGGGGCGGGGGGGGGGGGGGGATAGGGGGGGAAGTATTTCATGATGAAAATGTTCTAAAATTTACTGTGGTGATGGTTATGTGCAACATACTTTGTATAGGTAAACATACTAAGTACCACTGAACTGTGTAATTTTCTTTTCTTTTTTATTTTTTTAAAAAATATATATTTTATTGATTTTTTTACAGAGAGGAAGTGAGAGGGATAAAGAGTTAGAAACATTGATGAGAGAGAAACATCAATCAGCTGCCTCCTGCACACCTGCACACCTCCTACTGGGGATGTGCCCGCAACCAAGGTACATGCCCTTGACTGGAATAGAACTGGGACCCTTCAGTCCCCAGGCCGACACTCTATCCACTGAGCCAAGCCAGCCAGGGCTGAACTGTATAATTTTAAAGGGTGAATTTTATGGTATGTGACATGTTTCAACAAAGCTATTACATAAAAATTTTTTCCACAGGTAAAATTCAGCTATAGAATTGAGTTGTTCTCTGAACAATTTTGCAGGCTGCCATTCATGTAGACAAGAAGGTGAGTGGTGCTCCCTCGGAGTAGGCTACATGATGGCCCTGCTCAGACATTTTACAGATAAATCCTACCACACACTCAGAAATGTGTAATTCTAATCCTATAAATTTTTCCATAGGATAAATAGGCAACATTCCCCAACTTGTTTGTGGTTGGCATAATCTCAATTCCAAATCCAGGCACGGGTAGTATAAGAAGGAAACATTATAGGGCAGCTCATTCAATAGATTTAAGGATCCTAAACAAAATATTAGTTTATGGATTCCAGCAATAGATTAATAGAATATCACACTATGACCAAATTGTATTTAAATGCAAGGTTAGTTTAACATTAGTAATCAATCAATGTAATTCACCACACTAACAACTTAAACAAGTCCTGTACGACCACCTCAAAAGAGATATATAGAGAGAGGGAGGGAAAAGGTCCTGTGAAATTCATTCCTAATTAGAGAAAAAAATCCTAGGAAAGTAGGAATAAAGAAGACTATCCTTAACCCAATAAAGATTATTCACACACACACACACACACACACTCACACCCCTAACATTTTCTTAAATGATGAAATGTTGAAGCATTTCTTTTGCTGACAATAAAGAGGATACCGAAGTGCCTGCAATCAAGACGGCTACTGCATTTCAATAAGCTCCCAGGGGATTCCGATGGTGGTGAGCCACGCTCCCACTTTCAGAAACCCTGAGCCAGGGAAACCATTTGCCTGTTGAGATGGCTCCTTGCTCCTGGGCGCCCAAGGCCACTTACCCAACATCACTCCCAGCCATTTGCTGGCCTATGCTTCCTTTCTTTCATAATAATCCCACTGCTTTATTTAACTTAAATGTATATATTTTTTATTTTAGAGACAGAGGAAGGGAGAGGGAGACATAGAAATACCAATGAGAGAGAAACATCAATCAGCTGTCTCCTGCGCACCTCCTACTGAGGATGGAGCCTGAAACCCAGGCATGTGCACTAAGGAAAATCAAATCAGGAACCTCCTGGCGTCTGCTACAGCACTCAGCCAACTGAGCGAGCCACACCTTCCAGGCTTTTCTATTTAATTTTTCTTGGATCTTCACAATAGCCCTGTGAGACTGGCCTACCAGATACTACCTCCATTTTACAGATAAGAAAACTGAGGCTTAGAGTTTCCAGTCTTGTTAGAATTCCCACGGTCAGGGGCAGAGCCGCAGTGCAAGGCGGGAAATCCTCTTTGCAAAGCACCTCAGGGCATCCTCCTGCCTTGTGCCCCTGAACCGAGGCATCTGGGACGGTCATGTGCCTACCTGTGACCTGCAGGCCGAGGCTGTCGTTAATAAAAGATCCTCAGTTTGACACAAAATGCCCTTGTTTCATGTCAAAGTGTCACGCTATATCTATATGAACTTCCTATCTAGACATCTCTGTTGTCTCTAAATTGGGTCTGTGTGGGAATCAACGCCTAGATGTTTCTTCCATCCCTTAGCTATTTGTTCAAATCTCTAATAACTGGAGAACATACCCAGACCTGTTTTTAGCTACAAAGGAGACTAGAAATGAGGAGGCATATACCCAAGTCCCACCTTGTGAGGAAAGGGAGAAACTGCCCTTTCCTGTGAGTAACCTCTCAGCCAGGCAAGTGCGAGAATTATAACTCCGACAATGCTGAGGGGTGCTGGGTGTCCTGCTGTCAAGGGCCCCAAGGGTGAGGCTCAGAAAGGGTGGGAAGTGCCTCAGGCCACACAGCTGGTTAACATACCGGGCAGAGGTCCTAACCAACAACAGCTAGAGGGCCTCAGGGAAGGGAGAGGACACGTGCAGCTGGATGAAGAAGGAAGCCAGAAAGGGGAACAGAGCACAGTGGGTTAAGAAAGCCTTCTTCAAACAGGGATCAGGAGAATGCCCAGGCTGGCAGGGAGACTAAAGAGACCACTGGCGTGGCTAGAGAAAACGGTGCATGGATGGGAAACCGAGCAGGAGGTGGGTAGGAGTCAGGCCCGGGAGCCTGGGTTCGAGTCTGCGTGAAGGACTGTTCAAAGTCTCCCACCCACATGCTCTACCGATCCAAGTCACCTGGAGGACTTAGGAAAGTCAATCATAATGATGACAGCCAGTGTTAGTTCACAATAGGCCAGGCATTTCCCATGAGTTATCTCATATAACCCTCACTGTAATCCTAGGAAGCAGATACTATTATCCCCCTGTTTTACAGATGGGGAAATTGAGGCAGGCAGATAAGTATTTTGTCCAAGGTCACTCTGCAGACTGTCTTGGGACCCACAGTATCCACCAAAAGCAAGCTTAACATTTGCATGAAGTCTCCTATTTCAATTTTTATGCAAATTATGCATTTTTTTCTTCTCCTTAATATACTTGCACGTGTTTTAATATAAAAAATTGTCTTTCCTGCCCTGACAGGTTTGGATCAGTGGATAGAGCATACGGTGAACTAACACTGGCTGTCATCGTTATGATTGACTTTGTAGCTAAAAACAGGTCTGGGTATGTTCTCCAGTTATTAGAGATTTGAACAAATAGCTAAGGGATGGAAGAAATATCTAGGCATCTGGCAGTGTATCTGCTCTTACCCTCCCATTCACGCTGCTGTGCAGTGCTGTCTGCGCTTGGTGGTCAACCACGTGCCAATGAGCTCTCCCCTCCTTCGGGACACCCTCCGGATGAGAAGTCCCGCCCTGAGCTAACACTTCTCCACTCAAAGAGAAAAATTGGATACCGAAACAAGGGTATCCTGAGACGGTGTTTTCTGTGCAAGGGAAGGAGGGCTTGTACCGGTTGGCCAGAGCACAGCTCACAAGAAGGCCGGCCTCCCCGAAGGCTTCCTTAGGAATGCAGCTGCCAGGAGTCCCGGCCTTCTGGGATGACCGCCATAGAGTTCCCCGGCAAGGGGCCAGGGCAGGGCGAAGGCCCACCAACACCCTTCTCATCACCTTGACCCCTGCCCGGCCTGGGCCTCCCGTCAGCGATGGGGACAACAGCAAAGCACGTGCTGGCGGGGGGGTGGTCTTCACACCTGGCCTGAGTTCAAGCACCCCTGGGAGGATCTAAAACACCCTCCACCCTGAAAGATGATGTTGGCTTCACCTCCTCCGCTCGAATCCATAGTCTCAACGACGTCACTTCAGGATAACATACAGATGTCACAGGGGAGGGTTATGTCACAAACAGTTTCGGGAGCATTTCCATGTCCAGGTTTGCGGTAAGTGAAGGAACAGGGAGCTCTCCTCCCTGAGGAATCTGGGAGGAACGCTTTGGCCTGCACAGAGCTGACTGAGGACAGAGCCCTCCCCCGTGCCAGGGGCCCCATCCTCGCTGCCACGTGGAGCTCAGCCATGCGAAGGAGGGCACCTACCTGGGGCATCTGGTCTATGCTGAGCAGCCTGGGGAGCTTCAGGCTCAGCATCCTGAGGCCGGGTCGGGAAGGCCAGTGGGTGGTCGCCGCTCTTTGTCACCAGGTCTCCCTCGGAGCGCTCACATGGCCGGGGGAGCCTGGCCAGCGGGTGCCCAGGCTGCTTCCCTGAAAGAGGAGCATGGAGAAACCCCATCAGTTTCAGCCCAAGACTGGATCCAGCTGGATCAAGACGGTCAGGTCGTTTATGGATCAGACCTTGCTCACGATGGCAACATAACCAGGCTTTCTTAAAACCAACAGCCAAACTATCAGGCCATGGAGTCACTCCAAGAGCAGTGGCGGGAAGGTATGAAATCAGAACACGGGCAACCACTGAATTGTAGAGCTGGAAAGGGCAGCGAGGGCACCAGAGCCCCTCCCATTGCATCTGCGGGTCAGGGGGGTGGATAACTTCCCCAAGGTTGCACAGCTAGGGGAGGGCAGGACCGCTCACTTCCCACTGCACCACGTGCTGCCCCTGGACAGATGGTGTGACCCCACCCAGCGGGCGGAAGAGGACCGAGAGCCTTGCTCCCAATCACCCAAAGAGAAGCAGCTCTTCCGGACGGCAAACCAGAGCGTATTTGCTAAGCTGGCTTAGCAAAACCAGAGCCCCAACACACAACACCAGACCAGGACAATCCATCGTACTTGCTGGAGACAGAGCAACTCGGTCGGACTAACAAGGTTGTTTACGTGCAGGATTAAGACTGCTTAGCAGCTGTGACTAATGTGAACTAGAGAAACTCAGGTCCTCGGGACAGGCCCAAGAAGCAGGAAAATACAAGCTGGCTTAGCAAAGGAAGAGCAGAGCTCGGAATGTACTATTGTCAACGCTTCCTCTACCCCAGTGGTCGGCAAACTGAGGCTTGTGGTCAGCACAAGTGGCTCTCGAGCCTCGGTTTGCCGCTCTGTTGACTAATGAGTTTGCCAACCACTGCCCAAACCTGCCACCTCTTAGAACCCCCCAGAGGGTTGGGTCCCCGTCTCTGAAGCCCTAGAATCCTGCCTGTGCCCCTGCCTGAGCCACATCTGCCTGCAGGGAAAGCTACCTGCCTGGGCCTAGTTCTTGCTCCGGATACTTGGAAACTCAGTTGTGTGCCTGGCTCATCCTGGGCCTTCAGAAAACGTGTATTTAATTCTGTTAATTTAAGCAATGCTGTTTCTCCTCTGAACTTAAAGTGTGTGTGTGTGTGTGTGTGTGTGTGTGTGTGTGTTTGTGTGTGTGTGTGTGTGTGGTTTGTTTATACTTTTACTTTTTATAGTTCTTTATGCTCTATGTGTCACCTGGAATTCTGTAGCACAATTGGTTGTATTTGTTTCATTGTCATAAATGTGCTTTCTTAACAACACTGATGTATTATTCACAAAAGTTAAAAGGTGGAAACAACACACAAATCCATCAGCAGAAGCTATCCATAAAATCCATAAGCTAACAAGTAAACAAAATGTGGGTGTACAATGGAGTATTATTCCATTAAAAAAAAAAAAAAAAAGAAGTTCTGATGCGTGCTACAACATGGGTGGAACTTGAACACATTATGTTAAGTAAAACAAGCTAGTCACAAAAGGACAAATGTATGGTTCCGCTTAGTGAGGTACCTCGAACAGGCAAATTCACAGAGACAAAAAGGAGACTAGAGGGTGGGTGGAGGGAAGAATAGGAAGTTTTTTAATAGCCACAGAGTTTCTGTTGGGATGATGGAAAGTTCTGGAAATGGGTAGTAGTGATGGTTGCACAACAGCAACCATGTGAATATTCACTGAATTGTACACTTCAAAGTGGTTAACATGGTAAAACGTTAATGTTTTACCACATTAAACAAGTAATGTAGTATTTCCAAATTACAGAATAATAAAGAAGAATAATTTTTTAAAGCACATGTACACTTTGCCCAGATTAAAAAACGGAAGTTAACGCTTTGCAAACAAACACCGCTGATGTGAGTGGGACACTGCGCACCTTGGATGGCTCGGCTCTCCAGGTCTCGGTCGCCAGGCCGGCAGCACCACGGGCTCACCAGGGGCAGGACACGAGGTGGAGGCCCAGTGCTGGGCATCTCAGCTGCACCAGAAAGCCCAACCCACGCTGCATCCCTACAGACCGGCTCACCTTGGTCCTCTGGTTCTCCCCGGGGCCCCCCAGTGTCATGGGCAGCAAAAAGAAAAGAGATAGTCCTAATCTCACAGCGCACACTACCCAGGAAGGACGACCACACACGAAACATCAAAAGGGAGGGTAACAGGGCTCCTGGCCAGAGAGCAGAGCAGGCACACGCTGTGCTCGTCTCCCCCCCGTGACCACATCCACATTACAGCCCCGTCACTCCAAGAACCATCTGAGGACCAGTGAACAGGCTCCTGTAACCAACGGGCTGAACGTCCACTGTCATTGAAAAAAATAGAGTAAGATAATGAAAACATGAGAGGTCATGCGAGTGGCACACGATTCACCCCCTGCTTCATCCAGCCGCTGCTCACTGCATTTTTACCAGCTGATGAGGACGGGAGGGCTGAGGTGCAGCTGATTACCCTCGGTGCGCTGCTGCAGCTTGAAGGAAAAGGTGAGAATTTAACGGACATCAACATGGGAGAGTCTGTGACACACAGGATAGAGGGAAGTGGTTATCCTCCATTCTGTTTTTTGTTACATAGGAAAAAAGATGGATAGGGCTGTCCCTGTTCCCAAGAAATGGATAAAGAGATGAGACAGCTATGCACCAACCAACTAGCACAAGTCACCCTGAGAATGGGGGAGACCCTCACCCAGTCTGCACCAAGCCCATGAGGTCCCCCTGCCACCTGCTCTCTCTCGCTCACCTTCACTATGCCATCTCAGGAAGCTGGCAGAGCAGGTGAGGATCCAGGACTAGATTCAAGCCACATGGGTTCAAAGACCAGTTTGCCATTTCCTTTGTGACCCTGGGCAAGGAACCTAACTCCGCCTGCCTCAGTGTTCTCATCTGTAAAATGGACACAGCAGCAGTACTTTCTTCACAGGGTTGCTGTTAGACGGTCAAAGAGAGAGAAGCCAAGTAAAGGGCCCGCTATCAAGTAAGCTTCCGACCAATGCTTGATATTATTATTAATTTCCACAGAGAAAATTACTTGTTTATTTTACAGGCAGGAAAACTGAGGTATCAAAAGGTGAGGGGGCTTGCCCTAGATGACACATGACTTGCATCTGAACTCCAGCCTGGCTCAGCCAGGGCCAAGTGCCCACCTCGGCTAACTCACAGACGACTTTCAAACAGCTCCCTGTTCATTAAAACCACGGTCAACGCATCCGCTAATGCAGCGTTCTCCAAACTGCAGGTCACAATCTGCCAGTAGATCATAAAATCGATTTAGTGGGTCATGACTAGCACTTAAAAATAGAATAGTCTGAAAAATAATAGAACAAAGTATCAGTGTATTGCCTAGAGTAAATGTAAGTATTGCTCTGTGACATTCCTGTTGGTTATGTATGTTAAGTAACATATACCGAGTGGCCAGATTATTATGATCCCTGAACGCATAATAATCTGGCCACTCAGTGTGTGTGTGTGTGTGTGTGTGTGTGTGTGTGTGTGTGTGTGTAATTAGAGACCCAGTGCATGAATTCGTGCATGGGTAGGGTCTGGTCAGCCTGGCCAGGGGGAGGGGACCTGGACAATTTGTGTATTAGCCTTTTATTATATAGGATATACATTGAGTGGCCAGATTATTATGTGTTCAGAGATCATAATAATCTGGCCACTCAGTGTATGTTTGTTATGCTATTCTTGCCAATATTTGTGTACTGGGTTAGGGAAAAAAGTATTTCTTACGGAAGGTCACACTCAAAAAAAAAGTTTTGAGAAAATGTGCGAATGCCATTGTGAGGAACCATGGCTTTTAAAATTGTCCTCTGGAGTCACCCACACTGTGATATGTCCGTGGAGTTTGGGGGACCAATTCTTCCAGATATCTAGACAAAGCAAGGGCTGGGCAAGAAGTCCCTCCTAACGGTCTGTGGAACGTTGTGACAAGCTCCCTGGCCACCGGAGCTTGGAGAAGGCTCTCCCGGTGGGACCCCAGCTCCTCAGAAGCCTTCTGATGAGGTGTAACAGGAGGGGGCTCTTGGGCTGGGGACTCAGGGGAGCCAAGGTCAGGTCTCCCTGTGCCGTCTCCTAGATATGACCTTGGCGGGGCTGAGTGACTCTCCCTGACTCGTTGTCATTGGTGAAATGAGGATATTGATACCTACCCAGTCAGAGCTGTGGGGTGTTAAAATGAAACGACAAAGTTATTACACAAATTCAAGTAAATACCAGTAGTGTTACTCTCCTCCTAGTCGTGGTGCCGCTACTATTACATAAATCATGACACACTCAGGAGAGGGGCCCATCTGTAGTCTTAGGATGGGGGGGTTTGTAACCCGAGGTTAATAAAATTATAGGTAAAATCGTGTGTGCGCATGTGTCTGCATGTGCGGGCGATGAAAACAAAATTCTACGGAAGCCTGTGGTGAGGACCGGGTCAGATTTCGGGGGAAGAAGCAGGGGAGGGCTACAGCTTTAGAGAGACGGTGCCATTTGTTGTGAGCGTTGAGATCAGAAAAATCTGTCAGTTTGCAGAGGGCACAACGTGCACAAAGGCACACGGCAATGCTAGAGGACAGCAAGTCACCCTTGGGCTCCTTTAGCCAGAGGGAGTATGTGACTTCTTCTGGCTAATTGGGAGGGAGTGAGTGAGTGTGTGTGTGCGTGTGTGTGTGTGTGTGTGTGTGTGTGTGTATGAGGTGGCAGGAGGGAGCCCAGGGTTGCCATGAGGGTGGGGGCAGCCCCACAAGGGAGATAGTTTTGATCTTTTTTAGGGGGAACACTTTCGTTCTCAAATGTTTTCCCGTGCCTGCCTGCTCCCCCACCTTCTGGCAGGAGGCTGCCGTGCGGGCAGGAGGGGAGGGAAAGCTGGTACAGGGGGGCATTCCATGGGGTGGCTCCTCCTCACTGCCCTGAAGACCTCCGCTCGCTCCTGCTGAGGATCCAGCA